GGGCCGCGGCCAGGCTGGGGTTGGGGGACGGTGGGCGTCGGACGGGGGCCAGCTGGGGCCGCAGCCAGCTGGGGTGGAGCTCGGGCCGGCTGGGCATCGGGCAGGGGCGGAGGCGGAGGCGGACCCGGTGACCGCCGAGGCCCCTTGCCTGAGGGCGGGGACTGTGGGGATTCCCCGGGTGGGGCTCGCCGTGAGATTCAGTCTTTCCAGTGGAGTAGGCTTTCATGCGAGGGCTGACATCTAGTCATTTATTGGTCTGCCCAGTCGCTTCTGGGCAGAAATGCCTATTACAACTTCATAAAGTAGGTTCATATAACTCGGAATGCAAAAATTTTAAGATGTTGCTATGCGGATCATTTGTGACATCAGGGAAATAAAATAGAAATCAATAACAAGACGTGTGAATTAAATAGCATTCTAAAATAACCCATTAGTCAATGAAGAAATCATAAAGGAAATTAGAAAATACTTTTGATGACTAAAAATGAAAATAGAATAAAACTTACGGGTGCAGTGAAAGCAATGCTCAGAGGGAAGTTTATAGTTGTAGTGATCTCAAGTCCCTTTTTGTGGAACAGAACCAATCAATTACCTTGATTTAATGAATCTGGAAAGCAAAAGACTGGAACAAAATCCTAACTATTGGTTAGAGAAAATGCCCTTAACCTTCCCTTCCCCCAAATTTACTGCTTCTGAACTCCTAGGTGAATGTCTAGAAATTTGACCTCACTTGTAGCTTTCCTACAGGAAGAGAAATGCACTGATCAGCCCAACAAAAATACTTAGTATGTCAGAAAACTAGTAAGTTTATCACTCTCTTTATACTTTTCAATAGAGAATGAGAAAGATTACTGTTTAAAAGCAAATGTTTTTTAAATTTTCTTTTTTTTTTTTAAAGATTTATTTATGCTTACAGAACTGGGGTACAGACCAGAGGTGTGAGGATTGAGAGAATTCACCAGAGACAAAGTGGGGAATAGAACAGGCAAATCCACTGAAATACACTGCTGAGGGGAGCAGGGGAAGGTGACGGAGGTGTCAAGAAAGTCTGCCACTCTACGAGGGTCAGCTCCTTGGCCTAGGATCAAACTTGTGCTACAGTGGCTTCAGAGAGCTTCAAACATAGTGCTGTGCTTCAACCCTTTGCGCCAGCAGGGAGAGCCCCTAAATTTTCTTTTATCCTTAAAAATATCCCTGCCCCTATTTTTGTTGTTGTGGCAGGAGGTGGTGTTGACAGTTAAAATCCAATAAGGGTTCCTCCGGGTGGCACAGCTGGTTAAAGCACAGCACTAAGAAGCTAAAAGTACTTCAGCTTGAGTTGGA